CATTTTCGCTGCGAGACCTTTCTTTTCGTTTAAAACCTAACGCCATAATTCCGTTGTTTTTCGAGGTATGTAATTGAGATCTACACTAGTATGTATAGATCTGTTAGAGTCATTTCATATTAAAAGTACTCACCTTCTGATTTATCAATCAAATATATTTTGACGGATTTGGTGATAGGAGAATGGTTTTGATGCCGAAAAATTTGGCTTAACACTCCACATTAGTCCTCTCCTCATAGTTTTACACTATAAAATCCCTTTCTAAGGAACTAGCTTGGAATTCGTTCGATCACTGCCAAATTTTGAAAATGGTACCTAGGGCATTTCTAGTCATTAAATTTAGTATCAATGGAAAGGAATCAGAAAAGGGAATCCACCAACTAGTTTGAAGCGAAATCCCCTTTTATTATATCAAACTATGTAGGGAACTTGTGTGGGGTGCCAAGTCAATTTTTTGGCATTAAAATCACTCTCATATCACCAAATCCCACCGAAATATACTTGATTCAAAAATCAGAAGGGATATTTTTAATATGAAGTGCCCCTAATAGACCTATTTCCTATACATATATTATACTAGTGTAGATCTCATTCATGCGCCATGAAAACAACCGAATTATGGTGAGTTGGTAGTCTGTACGGTGGTGAGTTTATCGTGGCAAGGTGGTCAGAAACGAAGCGTGGTATCCTGGACCCCCACTCAATGGTAATCTTTGAAATAATCACTATTTAATGAGCTTTTTTGTTGACTAAATGACATTGTAAAACATCTATTTGATATTTGATTATTAAATATTGATACTGAAACACTAGGTATAAATTAAATAGTTGCAAACCGATAATATATGATTTTTAAGTCAGTCTCTAAATATCCTGTGCAATTTTATTATTACTGATAATCGCGTATTAAAATTTAGACTGTTGATAACAATGTTTGAACGAAAAATTACACAATACGGTGCCGTCCATATCCGCATTGATAAAAGGTCCTGTGGCCACTTTTTGATCACACTATTATAGGCTCTCTATAGTATTGAATATAATATAATAGAATATTATATAGAATAGAAATAACTATAAAAAAGGTATAATAGGTAGAATGTAGATATAGAATTTTATTTTTAAGCTATCTGTACATTCGAGATTTTTCAATACCTACGTATTTTCCTTAACCTTGTTATAAATTATGCAACTATTCCAATATAGAATTAATGTAAACGTTTCTCGGTTATTAAAAATGTCTAATTCATTATTTATGTCAATATCGACGACATGATTATTTTGTAAAACACGCTTTGCACAAGTCACTCACCCACCTAATACTGGAATACTAGAACGGTCACTTGTGTTTAGTACCTGTATAGGTAGGTATTGATAACGTTCGGAATAGGCTGGCAAGAGACTTGTGATGTCGAGTGCGTTTTGCGTCAGTTATTACAGTATTGCGATATTCGAATTTGAGAATTATTGGATTTTCGGCGTACCGCTCTTCACGGACTTTCGCGTTGACATCGTTCGCGGTGAATTATCGGTGTGTGCGCATTGCGCATGTAGGTAAATGGAAATATATTATAATAATTTACGCGTCGAATGAAAAATGCATTCGTGGAAAAAACGACGGAGATAAAGTAAGCAGGTATATTATGCGGAGGTAAAGTAACGATAATAACGCGGCGACGACGCACAGATCGCGTTGACTAGTGGGTAGAGGGGTGGCGAAAACGATGAGACCGCGGAAGGAGGATGTATAAATAAATAAGTAAACGAGAAACGTCGTCGGAACATAATTATTTATCACGTCGTCGTCGGATATGGTCTTTTGATTTGGGCCGCTTCACGGGGCGCGGGCGGCGGCGGTCGGGCGGTATAGTGACGACTGCGGCGGCGGCGGCGGCGGCGGTAGCGCCTCTTCGCGTATATGCGTACGTAATATTTGTCAGCGCAAAAGCTTGATTGATTGCCGCCGGGTGTCAGGTGACACCGCGCGGTCGTTGTCGCTAATGAATCTATCCATCGCCAAGGCGTCATAATCCCATTTACGCGCGCGGAGATAGGTGGCGCTCCCTTTACGAACGCATACAATATATATATATATATATTGTATACATATATACATACATAATAATATAGAATTATGTATACGACGCGGTGCAGGTACTGCGCGACTACTACGCGTATTGCCACCGCCACGCCGCCGGCAGCTGTTATTCGGGGCCGGCTACCTATACATGCGTATATACGGTGTCGCGACGCGGCGGGCGCAACCGACCGCGATTCCCACGGCATGATTAATATAGACTGTTTGATCCAACAATAAGTTACGTACTGTCAACGGCGCCCGGCCGCCGCCGTCGTAGCCGCGGACCCGAGGACCGTGGCGGGTCGGCGGGTCCGGGACGAGCCCGCGGCGCGGGAGAGATGATCGCGTCGTCGTCTTGCCGCCGCGTCCGCGCGACAACTGTAACGAGGGCCGATTTATCGTCGCCGAGAAACCAACAAGCAAATTATTGTTAGTATATTAATAATATTATTGTGATGATGCGCGCGCGTATTTACCGGGTATTCGTTCGGTTGAGTACGCGTCTGTAGTTTATTAATTTCGCGTCGTTCACGCGGGATAATGTTTTTATCCGGTCGCGTTTACAAGACGTGTTATTTAATATCACTATTCAAAACGCGAAACGAAATAACCGCGGAAAACCGTCCGGCGTGCGCGTAAAAACAATGTAAAAGCTCGCCGCGGTACATTTTTTTGTTATTTCCCAAAACTGTTTTCGCTTGTAAGAATGGAAATAAGCATTATTTCCCCCGTTTTTACTAAACCGTTTTTGCAACTTTTCTGTCCGAAAACTCGCTCCAATCGAAAAAAAAAGGTTAAAATACATCTGTTGGAGTCTAGGCAGGTCGTTTTTGATTTACCGAGCGGTTTTCATAAAATAAATGTTTGAACCACGGTATTTCGCGTACTCGTTAGTATATATACTATACAAGACAAAATTGTTTGATCTAACATAAATGGTTAAAAAATTTACCACGGAGTTCATGACTCATATTAGCTTCTTCTAGACGTGGTAAAATTTTCAAAATATTTGTAAACATTTAAATTTTGCAAATTGTTCACGTAATTTTTATTTGGTAGGTACTCTGTGGATAAAATTGCTATAGACTAAACAGAAATACTTAACAATTTAACAGGAGATTCATTAAAAGTCGTATTTAACGGTCAAAAAATAATAATTGCGTATGATGTAGCATTTTTCTTTTTAATGAGTTAATACCAAATTTTGACGAAAATCGTAAATATTACATTTCAAAACATGTATAATCAAACTTCGCTCCGAATCGTTTTTCGTTAGCAATGGTTTGTTTATCGTTGCTTAGGTATCCTACTTTCCTAACTTCCCACCTACGACAGTGGTACACTCATCCCCAGTATCAGCTCTTTTTCATGTTGTGTTTGTGAAAAATTTGTCTACTGGATTTCTTGCTTCATCAAAAAACGATAAGAGAGTTTTTCATGAAACAATTTTTATAATATTTAAATTCTCCAATAATAACAATGAAACATGTGTCAAAACTTATCATTTTTTTAATACAATATCCCATATATTATATATATATATGGGTTAGGGTATAGGTAATACAAAGCTATTATTAAAGAGACTGACATACTTCAGACATAGGGTGGCCACTGTTGTATGGGAGAAGTCTGGAAGGTAGTATAGGGAAAATTTAATGTATATTTGTATACACAACGATTAACCATTGTTAACGAAAAAACAATTTTCGGTTGATTTCGGTTGATAGTATTGCTTTGTCAATATACAATATATAATATGTCATCTTATGATTAAATAATGACATATACATTACATATTTAGATGGTAGAATTTCCTACACAGGCCTTTTTACATTTTAGATTCTAAGTGTAGTGAGGAATGTATATTAGTTTTACAATAATGTTTATTTGAGATAATTTCATTTAAGTTGGAAAAAACGTGCGATTTTACGATTTCATTATTTTAAATAAACACGCACGACGTTTTATACCAGAACTAGTTCTCTAACAGAAAAATGATAAGATACCTTTTTTGTTGAATTTCGAATAGATATTCGTAGACTTACGACTGACTGACTTTAATTATTTTAACGTACCTTATTTTACTTTTTACAACTTATCAACTATGTAGTGTAGGAGTTAACACTATGTCAATGTGGGAGATTACTTACTTTTGTAGAAGTTTACCATCCCACAAAACACCGTCCAAAAAGTAGGTAATATAAATATACCAAATACCTATGCATACAATAATACAATTGTAATAAGAATATTTTAATAGTATACGTTAAGACTAATAATTATAGTGTAGTCTTTAATTCTTCATAATAATATAATGATATCAGCTAATTAATCAACAATTGATAAAAAAAGTTAATGTTAAGCTATTTACCTAGTATTTTCCAAGCACATTTTGGATTAAATTCAAAAATAGCATTATCATTTTTATTTTTAATGTTAAATTTGTACAAAACAAAAATAGACAGGTACTCATAATATTTTTAGAATGTATTTTTCTTATATACTTTTATAAACAATAATAATAGCTTTATTATATGCCTAGCATAAAATAATCCAGATTATTACGATCTGTATTCTATAAAAGGCATGATTATAGATTATCTTTAATCTTGATATAATATTGACTGATAATATATAATAGGTACTTAATTTCATTACAGTAATACTTCATACAGACTACCTACCGAGCCTTAAAATTTTGGTTATTTGAATTAGTACGCATTATGTTGTGAGTTAGTGACATTCTTGATCTATACGTCTTTATAAAACGACAAGTTTTGAAGTTATACTACATACTTATTCAATAGGTATCTAATACATTATTGAAATATTAATCTATATTGAATAATAATTATTTAATAGGTAATCTTTTTATTTGTAGTTCGGTACCTATATTGTATTGTTTTGTGCAGTCAATAATATGGATAATAAATCAACCAAAAAACCATCTATATTTGATAATTTACTGGATGAAACCAATGACGGAGATATTGAAAATACAACTCATGATGTATTTAAATCAAATAAACAGAATAAACTAAATTCACAAAATACAATTTTGAACCAATCAAACAATTGTGATGTTATGGTAAAATATTTTCACATGAAATATTAGTTAAATTTATTAATTGTATTAGAACATAATTTTAGACTTTAGCTGTGAATGTAAAATACGATTCTCCTTATTAATGTACTATCCATTTTAGCTTAAAGCATTTGATGACGCATTTGAAACTATTTATGGTGATTGTGATGATATTAGTTTTATTCAAGTTCAGCAAATATCAGAAGAATTACAAACAAATTGTGTAAATCTAATAAATATGGTTGAAAATCAAAATAATTCAAGTAAGATTGTTATAGTAGAATTCTAGTATTTTAAATAATTTTAAGAAGTATTGAATACCTACCAAGTTTAAAATTAAATTACCTACCTATAAGTATAAAAAAATAGTTAACCTTTAACAAATTTATATTTATAAACTTAAAAATGAAATGAAAGACTTTTATTTTATACATAAATATTTTTCTCGGTTTTTGTTTTAGTAAATTATCTAAGAATATAAATAAACCGAATTAAAACAAAATAAGTACCTACTTAGTTTCCATTTGTTTATAAATATTAATTTTAATTTGTAAACTTGTGTATATTATATTGCTAAAATATAAGTATTAAGCAGGCATCTAGATATCTTATCATCCTTAATTTTCTATTAAATTTTCATACTATAAAATAATCATTATTTTCATATTTGCCGGCCTTTTTCTAATTCTTGTTTACTGGTCTCATACATTTTTGTCAAATGTTTAATAAATAATTTTTGTTTCAAAAGTTGAAATTGAACAATTAAGATCTAAGTATAATCTTTTGGAAAATGAATCTGGTACTACTATAAGGAAATTACAACATCAAATTGAAGAGTTAAACTTAGAACTTAAACAACAATCTTCACTTAATTCCATCATTGGATCTACATTCAGCTACTACTTATGGGAAGCCACCCAAATATCTGCAGTTGTTGATATGGTTTTACAAAAGGTTTATATTTATAATGTTATAATATTAATACTAAATATTTAGATGTATCTGCATGCCATTAAATTGTAAATATTTTAGGATAAACTGACAAACATGGCTAAATTAATGAGTAGTATACTTGGTTCATTTATTGAATCGTACAGTAATATGATGCCATCAATAAAAACATACGAAACAAAATTTGTGTTAAATATTTTGGGTATTGTAGCTAATTTAACAACCACACAAGCTGGTTGTCACTTTTTTTCACAAGTAATTGATGGTATTAATGTTATTAATGCTATTATGTCTTTGGTGTTGTGTACACCTTCTTCACTAAAAAATAATTTAAAGAAGTAAATATTATGGTTATATATAAATAAGTACAAATTGTAACAGATAATATTTATAAATATTTTCTGTTACAATTTTTGTTATCAGTTAAACTATTATTCCACAATTACTATAAGATATTTTATTATTAGGGTTGGGTATGCAGCATTATATAATGTGAGTATTCAATTTAATGGACATTTGCTTATGGAAAACAATAAACTTATAGAAACCCTACATAATGACATCAAAACGATTACTAACAAAAATATTAATGATATGTTACTATTTGCATTAAAATTGTTGCACTCACTCAGTAGAGATATTAATGAATCAATGTATATTATTCTTAAAAATCAAGTAAGTTATATATTACATGTTATAATATGAGTAATATGTATAAATTATGTAATAAAAATAAATTTATATTCCAAGTATTAGGTAGTGTAGGTAATATATTGTTTTTTTCTTAAGTACCTATTAATTTATTTTATGAATATGATTTATCAATATTTGAAATATATATATCCAATATTATATTATATAGAAATCATTTTTAATAATATAACAATTTATAATATTAAGTTAATTTTTTAATATTTATGTATTATATAGATAAATTTACAAGAAATTCTAAAATTGACAAGATACACCAAGACAGAATTAATATCTAGAAAAATATATGAAAACATTAGTATTGCAAGTGAAAAATATAATGATATATTTGAAAAAGTTTCAGAGGTATCTATTTAAATTATTTTAATATGCAAATAACTGTGTAGGTAAGACATGTTAAATGTGGTTTAAAAATAGTTTAAGTTTTTTTTTTGTTTTTAGAAATATGAATAAGATTCATTATTTTTAACATTTCTACATAAATCTATACATAATATAATATAATATAATATAATATAATCTATACAAATATAATTTATATTTAATTAATGTATAGGTATGCACTATGCATTATAATATTTTTTAATAGTGAAAGTCTTGATAAAAGTTGGTTTTACTCATAACTATTACAATAACAAATAAAACAATGTATTTTTTTAAATAATAAAATATAAAATTATAATACCTGTTATTATTTACTAGCCGTACTCGCATAGTAGCATAGCCAGTGAGGTTGGGTAAGGTTAAGGATATTGAAGACCCCTTAACCCCTCTACTCCTCCCTCCCTTCTGATAAATTATGGCTATGCCACTGCTCGTACAGAATTTTTACAAAATAATATTGGTTTTGTTACCTAATGGGTAGGTAATACTATTTTAATACTGTTACACTGTCTACTTTATTGCTGCAGTAATTATTATTAAAGCTGTGTACCTATTATTGGTAAGTGTATTATTTTATTATTCATGAATTTATTGTGCTAAACATTTTTCGCTTCTCAGATATAGTTTTTTTATTTACATTACGCACGGTTTTCTCATTTCTTATCACATTAAACAATAACTAAACTAAACTATATTATTTTCTAAATCATAATTATTTCGAACAAACGCCTAATTTAAATTTAATTGTTACAATAACATTATAATAATAACAAACGCCGACAACTTGCAGTTACCAGATAGGTATACTGTTTGGAACGAGTGGTCTGAAATTCAATTTTCACCCTCCGGTTCATAACAATAACAATATACAATATACAGGGTTTTTTTTTTTCTACAACGATTATTTTCAGATTATATACCCAAATGAAGTAAGCTTATTATTATTTTTTTTTTAATCCGTCCGAAATCTCGGTTTAACGCGCGTGCCTCTAACCGCCTATATAAATTATACAGAGTGACAAAACTAATGTTTGGACAATTGTCGGCACGTGTATACCGCACGCGTCTGTAAAACGTCTGCTGCTGTTCATGGTACCCGGAATATTTATTTAATAATTTTCACAAGTGTTTTTATTGAGAGCGCGAATCAATACGTTGTGCATATTATTATACGTGTTTATAGCACTGTACAAATACTTGTTGCTAGTTCGGTGTATGGCCAATTGAATGAATTATTTTTTTAAATAATCGACGGTCCGTCGGAACCGTGGGAGAATCGAGACGACAATTTACTCAGTACTTTTTATTTTTTTTTTTTCAATTGTATATTATTGTTGCGCGGTACAATAGTACGTGTTATTCGAATGCATTTTTTTTCCCGTTGTTATTATATAAATATTTTCACAAACTATTTGATCCCCAATACTTACGTTCGTTTATTTAAACAATGGGTTAAATTTTATTTTACCAACCAACAACGGAGTATAGGTTATTGGGTGTGTAGTAAATTTGGACAGTGGCGAATTCGACAATATTCCTAGGTGTTTGTCTAAGTCTAATATTCGTAAAGTAAAACACACGAAATAATATTACTTCGTACGTTTAATTAATGTTGGTAAGGAACGCGTTCCTTTCATAGGATCAAAGCTTGGAACGCGTTCATTTTTAAATGTAGAAACGAGAAATGGGAAAGAGTTCCTATTTATGTGGATCGTGAACTCAAATTTTTATTCCTTCTATCAGGAAAAAAAATGAAACGCATTTTATTGATAATATTGTTTAGAAATTATTTAGAGTTTATATCACTTCGTCAGTTACTAATTTAGTTTTAGGTTTATAACCGGAATATTAACAGTATCTCGGTGATCATAATTTAAAATGATAACAAACATAACTTATTTGATAAAAACGAACGTCCAATTTACAAATGATAATTGATATCATTGATTTTTAGTGTCATCTTTTTTTTTTGTTGTTTAATTAATAAAATATATTTTGAATTTTGAGTACTTAAATTGATGATGAATTTTTTTTTTTCATTTTTTTAGGGTAGGAACTAGGAAATTGATTGTATTTAATTTATCAGGATTTTAACATGTAGATTTTAAGAAGTAGGTAAGAATAGTTTTCAATTTTAGTTATCTCACCTCCTAACTTCCCACCTACTACAGAAAAAAAAAAGGAACGGGAACGAGTTCCTTTTATGAATAAGAAACAGGAGCTAATTCTTCTTTTGCAGTAGAAATGGAACGAATTCCTTTTTAAGGAACATTCCTAACACTGCATTTAATGTATCATTATTTTTGTTTTGAATGTTAATAATTCATACAAGTATAATGTTATCGCGTTATTTTTTTTTCATTGCAAAATAATATCTAATAGACGTGGGAGATCCGTGGGAACGTTACTATTGAAGTACGATATGTGTGACCACGGATTTCCTGAAAAATGTTCAACGTGAGATACAGAGATTTGAAAAGAGACCAATAGCCGTAAATCGGCTTAAATATAAAAGCCATCTCGTCCTACATCTCCTTAAATCCTGTGTATACGCGAATTCCGAACGAACGACTTCAATATAATAAACTATACCAACGACGTATACCTACCGCGTTCCCAGAGTTTTATAGTAAGAACCTACCGTCGTATAGTAAACTATAAAATGTCTTAAATCTTAATAGAAAAATAATTCAGGTACCCACCTAGTTATTTTCCAATTTTCAATAATATTATTGCAATAATAAAATCAATATAATATTTCGGATTTACCAGGAAACTAGCAGAACTGTATTTGATATACCATAGTTATTTGTAGGTAAGTACATTTTAGTGTAATGAAATGTACAGACATTAAATATATTTATGTAACAAAAATAATAATTATTGACAACTTAATATTATTTTATTTTATAAGTTCTATAAAGAAATTACATTTTGAGAATTGGCTAAATGGCTAAGTTGTCATCTACCTATAATCTAATAAATATAACGTATTTAACGTGTGTTAAAATACATCATTTAGACCAACAAGTAAAGGGCAAGATTATGAAGAAAATGACTCAAGATCTTCTTCCCTGAAACCATAGATATAATTATTGAAATTATACACTATTGTTCTAAATAATTTTGAAAACTTAAGTTATTATTATTTTATGTTTGAACCCGTATATTAAAAGTAATAATTTCAAGATAAATTAAAGAATTTATTTTTGTTTCAAATTTCGAACGTTTTAAGAATATGATTGATATATATATAATAACACTATTAGCACTACTCAGAAACCGATTTTTTAACGTGATGATTTATCATCGCTTCCGTAAAAAATTATTTAAATGTCAAAATACTCGACCGTCATTACCCCAATTCTCTTGTTAAACATATCTGGCTATTTTTTTTTTTTTTATTTGGCAGCATCCCTTAATTCAATTTATGAATCATACCGATTGTAGAATAGGTACATGTCCATCAGGACAAACTCCGAACAATTATAATTACCCTCCTGTATACTGCATTTATTTGGTTCACGGCTGACCATCATTTCTTCTATATTTTACAAACGATAGGTTTTTCCACCCTACCCTAGCACTCTGTTCGTGCTCTCCCCGGTTTTTCGTAAAAAATTATCTCTAGACACGCTATATTATGGTTCTCACCTGCTCTTGTATATATATATATATATATATACACAGCCGTTTGTTCCCGAGTTTTATTAATTGTCTTGTATTATCGCGAGGATGACTATACTTATATAGATAGAGAGAGAGAGAGAAAACCCGCTTTGTCAGCTTCAACTCCCCCTCTATAACTATATTGCATGCTTTGTGCTTTCTATACATATATATATAATACTTCTATAGCTACGTTAAAAATAAGTAATAGAAGTCGTTATTCATCTTCGACGGCCAGTGGCCGGTAGTCTCTTATTTATATAGTAATAACGAACGCCAACGATTACGGACGTCTTACTTATGTAAGGGAAATCTGGTCGGAAAATGATGATGTCATGACGAAGGGGGCGATGTAGGAAGTATAAGTACCTAATATATTATATATTTCCTAGTTGGTAATATAATGTATTATTATAAGTTAAATTTATTTAGTTCATATTCACCTTAGTTAAATAGTGCGTTACCGTTTTCGACTAAAATGTTTTTTTCCTCTTTTGGATAACATGACGTTTCCCCTTTTGGTCAAAATGTATCCTTTCTCTTTTCGATCAAAACTTATGATTATGGTTATATTTTATGATCATATATATATTTGTTTGACAAAATTATAACAATTTATTCACCATTTTTATTAGTTTTCAAAGTAAATAAAATGTAATACACAAAAATTAGAAGTGGCAAAACAATAAAAGAAAACCTCATGATACCAAAAAATGATAAAATAAATCGTTATATATTTGTCAAACAAATACTGTGAAACTATAAAAATAAAATTTAATTTGCATATTGGTACTTAAATTGAGTAATTTGAGTACTTATTAGTCATCAAACATATTTTATTAATTTTATTTGACTTATTCAGTAATGTTACATTTTATTACAAATTATTATTTTTTTTTTTCACAGTTGTATGTAGTATGTCATTACTTTGATCATTAAAATTCTCATTTTTGGATTATTTTAATAAATTGTTTACATAATATTCATAAGGATATAATATATACTTTATTATTATAATTTTAAAGAAATCTGTAATGGCCGAAAAGGGAAAGGTACATTTGGGCTAAAAAGGGGACAACTCGTTAAATATTACCTAATTAATACCTATTATACTTCCACGTAAAAAATATCAGTATATGAATATATTATGAATTCTATATATTTTGTTCGGTATTAGACTATATATTCTATAAAGCGTATTTAAGATTTTTCCAAGAAATGATACATTTTATTTAGAAATTGTGTAAAATGTACATGTATTTTTTATTAAAAAAAAAAATGTGTATTTCTATGTTTAATTTGATCTGCTCTATCTAAAATTATCATTGAAATTAAATAACTAGGTATTATTAATTATCATTAGCTTTATATTTACTTAGATTAGTAACTTTCGCATAAGTCTAACATACACAACCTAACCTCCTTCGTATTTTAGTAGTACCTATTTATTTCATTTTGAACGAGAAAATGAATACGTTCGGTTATTTAGAGTCTGAGTGGAGCGAAGATCAATGGTATTCATTTATTTATATTTTTTTATTTGTGAATCACTTTTCTTCCAGAAATCTTGCTCCGATTACAAGTGTAGCACTTTTTTTGAAAGGAAATTTGACTGGGGAGGTACTTTATCTCTTATAATTATTTAGATATTTCAATACAGATTATACGACATTAAATAATTTTTTAACTTTTCTTTATGTTCAAGAAGTCTCTTTTTTCCCTCTTCAGTGACGTGTTCTTGTGTTTAGAGTTCTTTTTACTTTTTTGACTTCTGTCAACTCGCTTTGAAGCACACTTAATTGATTATCCAAAACATGGTCAATTTTTCCCAAATTAATCTGGCAGTAGGCAATTAGTTTGGACCTGACGAATTCAGCCCTCTCTCCTTATTTCAACATCGAATCTTTTACACTAATGAGATTATTAAATTTTTTCGTATCAAAAATGACCATCAAACATCAATAATAATCGTGGTTGATATTAACCAAAAACATAATATTTTTCCACAAATGTTTGCCCATATTGTTCACCGTTTCGTCTATTTTGGGCGTGTCAGTTTTAAAATCAAAGTTTTCCGAGACAAGCTTGTGATCTTGCACTTTTGCGAATTTTTCAGTTTCATTCCCTTCTTATATTTTAGCATTAAATATTCCGAACACGTGATTTTTGAACAAAAAAAAAATATTTTATATTGTTAATAAAAATAGAGTTGGAAAACAATAGTATCATAGCTAGATTTTTCTATATGTATTTATTTATTATAATATTAACACAAATAGTATTAAAGAGAATACAATATATCTTACAAAGTTTTTGATTTTATCAATCCGTTGAGTATCGCCTTCCATGTTCCTGCAGCAATCGTTGTACGATGTATTCAAGTTTTCATAAGCAATAACCAACGATTTATTTTTAACGTTAAATTTGGCTACGTGGGTGTTCAACCGTTTGTCTTGGAACGACCTGTGGTTGTCGATCAAAACCTTTACAGAAGGTCGGCTTTTCTCAGTTTTGATTTCTCTTTCAGTATCAGTGACACAACTTTTGCAAGATCCCATTGAATGGTTGGATTTATCTTATATACGTGACGTTACATCCATATAAGGTCTTCTCGTACGGCCTTCTATGACGCATTTCGTCAAGCTATCGTGACGCAATCGGTTCTCTGTCATTTTATCCCTTCTGAATTTTATATTATGCTAAAGTACTTGTTTTTCGTTTATTTTATTTAATACTTCTTTGTTTGCTACTCTTTTTATCGATTATTCGATTATAGCATATTTTAAAAACCCCTGTTTTTTTTTTGTTTGTTTGTAACGATTGTCCAAGTTTTGTTGCTATACATAGCCACATTCCACAAAGTTTACACATGTATACTTTCAGGAACTTTTTCTAAGTTTCTAGGTTACACTATTAGTGGTCAGTAAATGATTTTCATTCCGAAATATCTATAATATGGTATACATGTATATATTTATTACAATTAAGAGTTTAATTTAAATAATAATAATAATAAAAAAAAAAAAAAAAATCGTAATTTATGATTTAATTTAACCTTTGCCCTTACACTGACCCCTGGAAAAATGTCTGCGGACTTTCGTGTCATTATATGTACTTATAATATTAGGATTTATTAGGAATGTATATTATATGAATTGCACACATACAGGTATACTGGTATACTGGTATACAGGTACTTACATATTAGACATGAAATGATTTAAACACACGATTATTGTCGGCTTGTACCTTATGGCTTATTTTGCTGTTGCGTTTCAATAAATGTGGAAAAATGGGAAAATTTACGAAATATAGGTATTAGTAAAAAAATATTGGGTTCTTTTTTTTTTTCATGTGAACAACTTTTCTACTAGCAATTTTGCCCCGAATTAGCACTTTTTCTGACTAGGGAAATACTTAAGAGAGGTTATTATTTGATTTTCTCAAGATTTTTCTCGATAACTGTGAAAAACTAGGAAAAACTGAGAAAAACTGAGAAAAAATTTAGGAAAAACGGGAAAATAGGTACAATATTAAACAAATATTATTAAAGAAAATGTTTAATGCATACATAATTATTTCACTATAATATGACATATATATTTTTGGCAAAGCAACACTATCAACTGAACTCTGTTCAGAATTATTTTTTCATTAGCAATGGTTAATTTTTGCGTTCGAATATTCATTAAATTTCCCCTTTACTACCTTCCCAACTTTACACCTATAACAGTGGCTGCACCCGTTCCCATTATCCTAGAACACCTTTTTTGAATTTTTCTTATTAAAAAGTAAAGAAATTTGGATTTAAATATAGGTAGTCAGATATAAACAATTACGTATATTTTATAAATAATAGATACTAAAACAAAGTTAACATATTGTACATTCTTACCTCTTTAAATACATTACTGATATCAACTTTGAACATTTTTAACGCTACATAGTTTTAAATTAATTTTGAATGTTATTTTGTAGACAGACTTATAACAATACATATATTATTCAGTAAACACAAATTAAATGCATTCCTATAAAACTAGTTATTTATTATATTTTAATTAGGTAATCGATTTTTACCGGTTAGTGAAGTTATAATAGTTTTATGCCTGTCTATTGTTTATTATATAATTTTGAATAAACATTTTAACTTAAATATTTTTGTTATATGGTTATATGATGCAAGTACTGTAATTTATATACATTTCACCAAAAATAACAAATTTACCCTATTATACTTTACCCTTCTGAAGGAATATAGTGAGAATGAGATATAGGAGTTTCTATTACAAAGTTCGATCAACCCTTTTGTTTACTAAACCGTTATAATCGGTTTATTCCATTGATACCCTTCATTCATCGGCTCTCTCTTTGCCCACAACGACGATGACCCTTCGGCCGGCTACAGTACGCGTTTGTTAAGCTACTTTAAAAAGCCTTTTCTTTATTTGCCTTATTGGGTGTTTGCAAAAACATCAAAAACCGTATAAATTATTCGTGAGAAAAATGTAAAAAAAAAAAAAAAAAAAAAATAGGATATTCTATTCAGGTGAACTTTGAGGATTATATTATATCGAATATCGATTGTACCTAATCTAAATTTGAAACTGTCCGCCAATCAGTATAATAATATTGCTTTTTGGAAATTACATGGGTAGAGGCGTTTTTATTTTTTTATTAGTGGTGTTTGCGTAAAACTTGTGTGAATCACCTGCGCCACTGTTTTAGTTTGGAAGGTTGAATACATACATTTATTTAATTTTAACCTGTTAGTAATGAATGATAAACGAAAAACAGTTCTACGTGAAGTTCATTTAAACGTTATTTGAAAAGCTGTAATATTTATGATTTTCATCGAAATTTGGTCTTAAAACTATTATAAAAAAGTGACTACATTATATTCTACATTTTTTTTAACCACTAAGTAAAACTTGTAATGAACCACCTGTTAAATTTTACTACGCGTAAAATTAAAATACCTATAAATTGCTCAAAAATCGCTTAATTGTTTTGACAATTTTATAATAAATAATATATTCGTAAATATTTTGTCAACATTTTAAGTCTCTAAAAATATTTTAAAAATGGTTAGGTAGTAATTTTAAATTCTGGGGTGCTTAAGTTTCCCTAGCACCCCTTTAATCGTGCCTATAAATTATTTTGTTCTAGCGCGTGATTATTATTTTAGATTCTGAGCGTAGTGAGGGAGCTTATTGGATCTACTAAGATTTTTTTTTTGTTTCTTTTTTTTTTTAATCTGTGGACACGTTTTTCCTTATTAAACTTGTACTTGTACCTGTAGTACAAGTTGGTACTACAGGTACCAATTATTCTGAAAGCTCAAGTTGTCTTGATTGTACTTCAAAAAGGTAATTTTTTGATTGTTGTCGCCATTTTTTAAATAAAAGCACCTAAATGAGAAAAACGTAGGAAAACACACAATTTCTCGATTCTATTATTTTCTAAAAACACAGACGACGTTTTCTACCAGAAAAAAAAATGATTTAATCGAAAAATCGCTAGACACCTTTTTTGTTGCCTTTTTGATTTGTTTTCTTACGGTATCATTGACAAAACTTTTGAGCTTTTAAGGAATTTTAATTTTTGAGAGTTTTTTGCTGTAATTCGGTTATAAATACACGTAGAGGCTTGAAACTAAGTGATAATACTTATATGGGATTTATCTAGGCGTGATAAAATTTTTAAAATCATCGTACAACTTTTTTGTATTTTCTAATAAGCGTTTGAAATCAAATTTAAACGAAAATCGCAAAAAAAAAAATAACGGCACTTTAATTATGTATTACCGAACTGCGCTCGAAATCTTCTTTCGTCAAGCAATGGTTTATCGCTGCTTACAGATATAAATGAAATAACCTTATGTATCCTATCTTCCCAACTTCTCAACTACAACAGTGGCTGCACCCGTCCTCAGTATCAGCTCTTTTTTTTTTAGTTTTATTTTTTTTTTTAACCTACCATTTTCGGTGCAATCGATATTATATACACCGATGTCCGACGCGTCGTATACAAACTAAACTCGTTGTTAGTAACTTCGTTGTACGTACAAGTGTGATGCTGGTCGGGCCGCGTGTGTACGCGAGTCTTACCGCTCGCGTGCCGACCGTGCAGCGTATATGCGCCCCTCGCGCTTCCTACCCACCCTGTCCCGCCGACGGGTCCAAGCGAGGGACCGTCGCATCGTCGCACGCGCGCATAATCGCGGATGACGGACGACGGGCGACGTGCGCGGTACCGATTTCAATTGCCACTTTGTCCGTTCCACTTCATCGCCGGCCGACGCTACGCGGTCGCCCTCCGCGCGTAAAGTGTATAAATATAATATTGCGCGTATTATACACAACGGACGGCGTGACGGCGGCCCTCTTTTTCGCCGCTTACCGACGGCGGCCGCCACTGTGTATAATATTATTATTATATTCGCACCCGCGTGACATATTGTTTTAATAATAATAATAATAATGTATACAGAGTGTTGCAACGGCCGCGCGTAAAGCCCAAAAGTAACGACGCGACCACGACGACCCTATATAAATTGTCTCGCGACGCGGGAGAGTACGGCGATGGTTGCGTTTTTTCCCACTGTAACAAAACGGGGAAACGGAAAAAAATAATAATAATAAGTACCGAATTTTTAGGGGAGTAATAAAACCGCGATCGTAAATGACGGGTGAGGTGAGAGTGCCGAAGTAATTTCGCGGCATTCATGGTAATGGGGGCGGGCGAGGGCGATATTATGGTCCGTGACGAATGTCGTTCTGCGTCTTAACCCCTGCCCCTATACTACGTTATATCATTTGCGTAGCCCCACAGGTATACATACAATTATCTAATATACTTGGACAGTATAAACTTGTTTATGATTTTTTTTTTTTTGACAATTTTAAAACGAGCAGCTCTCAGATGTTAAATTTCCGTCTCCTTATTTTCGGGGATAAAACACAAATCACTTCTAAATACATTTTGGTGTAGGAAATTTTTGATTTCCGTCAACCCGTTCACGAGATATTCCACTTTTAGGTTAGGGCAGGGCGAGAGTAGTGAAGCGTGCCGCCACACAAATGATGTTCCACTACAACTTTCCCGTTATGCAAACTTAAAAAAGTGAAATAGGTATCTCGGAATGAACCGGTAATCGAGAATTTCAAAATCAATATGTATTGAAACTATTACTCTTTCTATTTATAAAATTTTTTATGTATGTTTCAATTGGAAAATCAAAACTAGATAGTCATTTCATCTCCAAAATAATGTGCAAATAATAATAATAAATTGCCAAAAGAAAAAAAAATTTAGAAATATTGCTCTAATTTTCAAGTTGATCCTTTTTTTTGAAAACAAATTTACTTGATGAACTGGGTGGGGAGGTTTGTCCATTGTGATTCTTTGTAGTTTTTTCAATAATTAGAAAAAGCGGAAAACTTTACAGTTTCATTAATTTATATTTTGTTTTTAATGTTTTTTTTTTAAAAATATTCACCGAGGCCTGACATTTTCACAGAACAATAACTAAATAAAATGGTTTAGGCTGAACAGA